CGAATCGTCGCCTTCTCAGATTGACACACCTTTCACAGGTGCCACGTGGCAAGCCACATCACACTTATGAGGGGCATCTGTTTAGGGTAAAAATATTCCGGTCCACGTGGACCAATAGCATGCTAACACGTGTCAGCCTCAGAGAGGTTCTGAAAGAAGCAACCCTCTGATGACACGTGGCAGTCCAAGTCATGAAAGGGGGAGTAGATCCTCAAACCCTATAAATAGGGAGAGATCCCCATTTATTGCACATTCAGAGAAATTATCACAAACTAGAAATATTAATTGCAGATACTTTTTCTCTCGGAATCCGAGAGAAACTCTTTACATTCTGCACTTTTAACTCCGTCCGCACTCATACTAACTTGGTCGTCAGAGGCGGAACTCCACCCAACCGGAGTTTCCGTGGTTTTGCAGGTGAAGACGGTCGATATCCGTTTTTGGAATTGTAACTCTCCCGAGGGATTCCAAAAACCCCGAAACAGCTATCATATAATTCAATAAACTTTGTATAAAAAAATCCTATAGTGAATGTTAATATGTTAATAAAAAACTATTATTTGAATGTCAGAATGTGTAAACTATAGCAACATTATGGCCCAATAAAGTTAATATGTTAATAAAAAAAACTACTATTAACATATTAATTGTATTGGGTCAGAATGTGTTTAACTGTCATTTGATTCAATAGGTTTTTTGAATGCATTTGACTTTTATTTGATTTAATTAACTTTGTATAATTGATATTTTAATTAAAGTTAAATAATTTTATCCCACTTATAACTTTATTTATTAAAAAGTTAATTAAAGTTAACTATGGTTAGGTTTGTTTTAAAAAAAAAGTCAACCTACCCAAACACCAACCTAGCCACCCCCACCACCTCCACCTCCATCGAAACCCTAACCCCAGCAAGTGACCCATCCTTGACTTTTCCCTCCAAGTTTGAACCCTATTGGACTCAAAATCAATGTAATTGGTTCTTCAAAAGAATTTCCCTCTTGATTCACATCATTCTCCCCTTCTTCAAAAGAATTTTTCCTCAAATTCACCATCTAAATAAGGAGACAAATCACCAACATTGAAAGTAGCACTTACATTACCATACTCACTTGGCAAGTCAAGTTTATAGGCACTCTCACCATATGCTTCTAATACCTCAAAGGGACCGTCGGCTCTAGGCATGAGTTTGTTTTTCATTTTGCTTGGAAATCTTCCTTTCCTCAAGTGTAACCAAACAAGATCTCTCGACTTGAATGTAGGCTGCTTGCGCTTCTTATTGGTCCGAGCTTTGTACAAGTTATTCATCTTCATCTTCTCAATTTTTGTACAAGTTGTTCACATGTCTTATTGAAAACTTCAAGCCGCTTCTTAGTATCAACATGAATATATATCCAAGTGAAAAGGCGCAGGCGGAGCTTACCCCATCATTTTTGGCCACCAGGCCAGCTGGGCCTTTTTCTTTTCAAGCTGAGCCTTCCTGATGTGGGTTGCAGGCCTGGCAGGCGTCTTCTCAGCATCAACCATTGTAAGAGCTTTTTCTGCAAAAACACCGGCTGGTTAGACAACTTCAAATAAATTACACAAAACAATAGAAGCGGCATTAAGGTGTCGGCTGGGGGGCCAACGTACGTTTCTCAAACATGGTACTTAGGCCACAGGCGGAGAGAAACGTTGCGTCCTTAGCCAGTCCAAATGGGGTACCCAATTTCTAGGTACGATTATCTGCGTGTCATCATCCAAGGGCATGGTGGTTGTCTTAAAAAACTCCGGCTCTAGTATTTGAGACCAACCCTTGTCAGGGACAGGCAGCAGGGCGCACTTCTTCCCCAATAAATCCGGTTTTTTGTTATACCGACGGAGTAAATGATTTTGACGTCTGCTGGGAGAGGAGACCAGATAGAACTTGCTCTTCTAGTTGCTCCATTTAGATGGCTTGTCAAGCGTCATCAAATACTCCGGATGTGTGGTTAACGTATACTACGCCCTAAAGCCGCCTAGGGCACGGCTTAGATAATGCATGTGAGCAAACGCCTCCAAGGCTATGTTTTGCAGCTCATAGGCGGCAATATAACTAAGGATGTTCACCCACAAATTAGGGGTGAGCTGCCATACGCCTAAGTCATAGCCCCTTAATATGCCTTTTATTCCTTTATGGAAGGGGAACTAGAGGCCGACTCTGAATGCCGCCTCATAGCAACAGAAATAGTTATCGGCATGGTCAATGTCATCCTCCCAAGAGACTGTAGCTTCTGTAGGCGGCACAATTATCTCCTAGCCATCCCCTACGGGACGTCTATCTAAAAAGGCTTGAAAGCCCGTCTCTAGGGCAACCCTATCCCTGGTAGACATATGGGTCTTAAGAGGGTTGCCCCTATCTGGCCACAAGGCCGCCTCGTCTTTCTCACTTTTGTCATCTGCCTACAGTGAGCTCGACTCAGAGCTAGATTGAATGGCCTCTTCGCCGTCTCTCTGGTCAGACTCCTCCAAGATGTTGTCACTCGGAGTGCTGGGAGCACCTGGAGGATGGTCTTGTCCCTCCTCAGCCGGCGCGTTAGATGCGCCGCCTAACCTATGCCGTCCGCATCGTCCGAGCCATAGTGTCCAACACAGACACAAAGACATTCGGATTCGGGGAAGAGTAGGGGTGGACCAAACACCTAGAGACAGCAGTCACAACACCCCCAATCCTAGACTCAGCTGTACCTGAAGACCGGCTAACTGCTGTCCTAGGTTGTGCTGTGTGTGTAGTTGGTGAATCCATTTATCAATACAATATACACAAACGGTAAAAAGCTTGAAAGAGCTAAGAGGGGGAGAGACGGTTACCTTGATGAAGATTGCTGGAACAAAGAGGTCTTAAACGGAAGTAGCAGATGGAAATTTTGTGAAAGCAAATACAGACGGTTATCAGAGTCTCTCTCTCTAAAGACTTCTCTTTCTCTCTCTAGACTTTATAGAAGGGTCAAAGATGAGAGAGGAGGGGGGGTAAAACCCTATTTATAGAAGGGTAAAAATCAGGGGCATCCCTGTAATTTCTCCCAGAATGCCTTAGTGACAAGTGTCATAGGTGCCACGTGGCACGCCATGTCAACCCTGTGATGGGTAAATATCTTGGGTAAAAATACCCAAGCCACGTGGCCTAATCAAAAGGTGACATGTGTCACCCTAGGAGAGGTTCTAAATGAACCAATCCCCCTAGCTGACACGTGGCACTCCTAATCAAGAAGGAAAAAGACGGCCTTCAGGACCCAATTCCAGAGGAAAGCCACAAAACGGCGCAACCCCTCAAATATAGGTCAGAATGACCTAGATAGAGGCACATTTACCAACGACCCTATAAATAGGGAGATTTCCCCCATTTTGGGACAGGTTCATTTATTACAATACAATCAATTCTCTCACATTAGAGAAAACCCCTGATCTCGGAATCCGAGAAGATCTCACTTTACTTTCTGCACCTTTTCACTTTCTCCGTACACGTTCTAACTTGATCGTCGGAGGCAGAACTCCACCCAACCGGAGTCTCCGTTGTTTTGCAGGTACAGACGCTCGGAATCCAGTCTTGGTGACGTAACTCTCCCGAGGGACACAGAAAACCCCGAAATAATAAATATTTTTAATGTTCATAAAATGTTCTCATTTTGTCTATTTTGTCAGTTTATGCTTGTGTTCATATTTTGAATGCTTATGTTCACTTTCTGAAATGCATATGTTTATATTTTTTATGCATAGTTCACTTTCGTTCTTAAATGCTTATGTTCATATTTTGAATCCTTTTGTAAACTTTCTGAAATGCATTTGTTCACTTTTTGAAATCCATATGTTCATATTTTTTTTATGTATATGTTCACCTTCTAAAATACTTAATTATGTTCATACGCATTCAAAAAATGAACCAATGCATATGTTCATATTTTGAATGCGTATGTTCATTTTCTAAAATGCGTATATTCATATTTTTAGTGCATATGTTCATATTTTTAATACTTATAATGCGTATGTTTCATAATCATTTTATTTTTAATTTCTTCAATTTTCTTATGTTCATAATTAAAGGCCGTAAATTCAATTCATATGAATTGCATGTTCACGAACCTAATCAAATTGATCAAAATTCATTACAAAATCACCACAAAAAAAATCAAAACATCCATAGATCAAATTGATAGAAATTAAACAAAATACAATTACAGAGGAGAGAGAAAATGAAGAACGAAAGAGGAAAAAACAGAGGAGAATAAAATTTTGATGAAAATTATAATCGCATTTTGATGAAAATTTTGATTAAAATTATTATAGGAAAGAAAAGTGAAGAGAAAAGTACTACAATCAATTTGTGTTCATCACCTATTACAAATTGGCAAATTACCCAAAAATTATATATGCAATATCAATCACAAATTTAGAAAATATAACCAATTAAACCAAATTACAAATCAATAACATAAACTAACTTATATCAACAATCTCTTCAACATTCCAATCAAATCCATCACGAATCAACGAAAATACAAAAAATTGGAGGAGAGAGAAAATCTTAAAAGAAGAAGATAATGCCAAACACAGTGGAGAGAGAAAATTTCAATCAAAATTAAGAATTAAGTAAAGAATTTGGAAAAAAGAGAAAAATTTATGTAAAAATTAAGGAATAAGGAAAGAAATAAAATAGGAAGAAGATTGAAGGAAGGAGATGAAGTAATATATACCAGTATTCCAGTAGTACATACTCCCTCCGTTTCGCATTAGTTGTAACAGTAGGCTTGACTCATAGTTTAAGAAAATTATAGACTAGGCTTATAGGCTTATAATATTAAGTATTGTTAGTAAGAGATATAATAATAATAAAAAAAAGTAGTGTGGGTGGGGTTGGTAGGAAAGAGAAATAATAAAATATTTGTGAAAGTGGGGTTAATGGGAGAGAAAAATTATAAAATAATAGTGGGTCATTTCCAAATATAGTAGTGTTGCAATTAATATGAAACGACCAAAAATAAAAAGCGTTGTAACTAATGCTAAACGGAGGAAGTAGTATATATGTATGTTTGGTGCATAAAAGGGGGTATTTGATGAGTGGTATAACCAGGTTAGATGCATAATATGCCACGAACCTATTATTCTCACCGGATCTTTAATGGGCTCCAAGTCCTCCAACTTTCCCACCCATTGAATTGCTTTAATTGTGAATGACTCAGTAAGTAAACTTTCTCTCAGTTCTCTTTTGAAGCGCACTAGACGTTCTCCATTGAGGCGCCCTCTAAATACCTCACCCATTGAAGCCGCTTCTGAGGTAAGTTATTGTTTCTTTTTGTAATCATCATATCAATTTCGCAATATACGGTTTAATTTGATTGTCAGTGTAGTAAGTTTAGGGTTCGAATATCTGAACTATTGATTCTAATTACTAAGATTATGAAATATCATAACCAGCGATTGTGGGGTTAGAAAAGAAAATTACGAGCCTATTTGATAATTGAACTAAATATCCCTAATTATTTGGTAATTGAATCAATCCCTAATTTATTTAATTTTGTTGCTAATGTATTGCAGAATCCTTTAATGTTTGGATTGAACTATGAAATTAGACCTCTTCTCCCTGGGCTCAGGGCGGCCGCCCCTCCTGCCCTGGCTCGGGGACGGGCCTGGCCTTCTCGACGTCTGCACACTGCTGCTCCTCTTGCTCAAGGTAGTCATTCTTTCTTAAGCTGATTCTTGCTTAATTGTGTAATTGATGTTAGAACAAATTAGTTATTGTGTTTGGTCTCATTTATCGAATTTTACATTGATTAAATTGTAGTTAAGCTGTTTGCCCGCAATGATGAACTTATTACCTAAACATCATCAACTGTATAGTTTACAATGACTCTCGGAAATGGATATTGTTATGGATACTTAGTGTCTTGGACATGTCATATTGGACTTGAAACATGCTGGGAAATTGACAAGTTAATACTAAGACTAGGAGTGAGTCGGAAAATAGTTCATGTTGGGCTGGATTTGTCTGCCTAATGTTAAAATTATTATGGCTACCTTCGGTATTGATGCACAATATTAGGAGGGAAATCTTAGTTCACCATCAAATAAGAGGATTCAAAGGTGATTGCTGGTGCAGGTTGGCAAAGGGTCCAGTGTTCAATTTAGCTGTGACATTCTCCAGAACCAATACCGAAACCTACAAACACAGCTAGCTCTCCTTAAGATTCATATATGCAAACCTGAAAGCCTTCTGTCAGATGGTAAGATGCTAATTAAAACTACCAATGTGCTTGAAGTTTTAGACCTTACTGAACTAATACCTTGAGAAGAAGATGTAAAAGTAAGCCGGATTTCCTGAAACATGCTGTGCTGCTATTAGGAGATATGTCCGTGGGCCCATCACCTTACCAAATAATACTTCACTAGTGTGTTTCTTATGATTTGAGAGCTTGCAAAGCCCATTTATTGGTGTTAGTGTACCAAAATCTTGTTTAGTTAAGCTAGTCTATTGTCAAGCAAAGTGTGATGAAACTATTATTGTTATCTTACAAGTTTATTACATCACCGTAGTCCATTTTAGTTCTAATGGTAATAATGTTATGTTGACCCAGAATTAGGTGCACTGCGTACAGATAGTGCTGTGAGTTTAAGAGGAGTGCCTCTTGCTTTATTAGCTGCAGAGAAGGAAGAAGCCAAGGCTGTTTTGATGCTATTTCTGAAAAAACAGGGTTTGAACAAAACTGCTGCATCAAAAGCTATAAACAAGTCAGATCTTTTCATTGACCACCTCGTATCCCAGCTTCACTCCATTCACAAATCTCGGTATCTCGTAGGTTTGACTTCAGTAGAACTATCACATTTATATTAATATATTATTGCATATCAATGACTCAAAGAGGGAGATGCTTAATTGGAATTATTTAATTTGCAGGTAGGGAGCTGACAACCCTAGAAATCAGAGATGCTCTTATTCCTTACCTTGATAACTTGCAACTAGAGCATGGAAGCAATCTGGTTGATGTCGTGGAGAACTTTCCAAATATGCCTGTTAACGAAAATGTGACAGCAGAAGTTGTCTCCCCAAGTGTAATTTTGGAATCTAAAAAGCTGCCTGATGAGACTTCAGAATCCCGGAAGCTTAAGGCCATTGCACGGGTTAGTGGGTCTGTCCCTATAGATAAGCTTCCTCAGCATGTTATTTATCTCATTGAACTTGGAATGGATCTTGAGGATATCCAGCAGATTACTCGAAAGTTCCCAGCTTTTGCTTACTACAGTTTGGATGGAAAAGTCAGACCTGTGGTTGAGTTTCTTCTTGAACTTGGAATTCCGAAAACCGAATTACCCATTATTCTTCGTAAGAGACCACAATTATGTGGAATCAGTCTTTCTGAAAATCTAATACCCACCATGAAGTTCTTGGAGGGCTTGGGTTTGGACAAGGGAAAATGGGCAAAAGTAATATACCGATTTCCCCCCCTTCTTACATATAGCAGGCAAAAGTTAATGTCAACAGTTGATTTCCTATATGAAATGGGTCTCACAGCACAGGATGTTGGCAAGATTCTGACCCGTTGTCCCAACATAATAAGCTATAGTATTGAGGAAAACTTGCGGCCAACAGCAGAGTATTTTTCTTTACTAGGTATAGATGCGGCTGTTGTTCTGCAACGATCACCGCAGACTTTTGGACTAAGCATCGAAAGAAATCTCAAGCCTATCACAGCATTTTTCTTGGAGAAGGGCTATAGTTTGGAGGATCTTAGGACCATGATCCAAAGGTATGGGGCCTTGTATACTTTTAGTTTGGTAGAGAACATGATACCAAAATGGAATTTCTTTTTAACCATGGGCTATCCGCAATCAGATCTTGTCAAGTTTCCCCAATTCTTTGGCTACAGTTTGGAAGAGAGGATTAAGCCAAGGTTTGCTCTAGTCAAGCAGTATGGGGTGAAGTTGATACTGAACCAAGTGCTGTCTTTATCAAGTGATGAACTTGAAAAGGTTCTGAAAAGGAAGTTGAAACGAAATGATGGGAAGGTTCTAATGGAATAGCCCTATAAGTGTTGTCTTTATCAACTAATGAACTTGAAAAGGTTCCGAAATGGTGGGAAGGTTCTAGTGGTATAGCATTTATTGGATGCTATATCATTTGACATGTTCAACACGATGAAGCTGCTCATATAGGTGATTTTGTTAGGGGTTCGTTAGTTGACTGGAAAAAATAGTTGATTAGAAGAATGTACAGTTACTAGAATGACTTCTTCAAAAACGTACTCTGATTGATTGAGTACTCTTTGTCAGCTGTAGTGTTAAGGAAAACTCGTTACATGATGCATGTATTGCTTAGTCCAGCCATTTCACTACATGCTACATTGTGAAATTTTGACTGTTGAGAATAGTTGTGTAAATGATAGTCATGTCAAATGGGGTGAGGTGTGTACAATTAATCCATGTTGGTCCATTTGATATATCCTTTGGCCAGCTATTGGTGTACCTATGAAGTATGAATTTGATTAAGCAATGCAGAGCTGATTCAAACAATTTTCCAAATTATGTCAAAAGGACAGTGTTGTCCATGTACATCCTCCTGTCTTTGCTGCAGTGAATGATCTCTGCATCCCACTTTTATTGCTCACCAATTTCATACCACTCCCTAGCACCAAGGAGTCCTGACTCCTGACATTAAAAAACAACCGTAGAATTCAGCTTCCCTTTCCTGTTGATATTCTCTGTTAGTCTTTGCTTTTCCACTTCTGTGATGTTTAGATATTATCTGATTTCCACTTATTCATCTGTAGCTGTCATTTGGTGTTACTTTTTTTTTCTTCATTTTGGTACTTACATCGGTATCATGCTGTAGAAAGTGCCAATCATTTGATGCTTATAATTCTATCATCAGTATTACTGCTGTAGGAAGGGCCTTATACATGATTACTCTGCAGTATTCTTGATGGCATTATGTAGTGATATTATGCAACTAAAATGAAGTGAAAAGTGTTTATTGTTCTGGCTGTCTGATTTTATATCAGCTTGCATATTCTGGTTATCATTAGTATCCATCCAAGTGTCAGGCTTGGTAATGTATATATTTTTTTTTCTTCTTATTGCTCAAGTATCCATACCGAATCGGTGTGTCAAGGATGTCACATGGACACTAGAGATAAAATGAGGAGTCTATTTAACATAGGTTATCACCACCTCTATTAGGAACAAGAATGAGCTACTGAGTTTTTGTGATATGATTTATTTTGGCAGAATGTTATCTGTGGTATTTACTCAGAGTTTGAGGGCCAATGATGCTCCTTGATTTAGGCTTTACTCCTAAACGAGAGCCTAGTCTGTGCCAAGATGTATGCTTGTTTAAAATTTACATGTTTACTCACCTTATTTCCTGCTATTTGGATGCAGACTGGTTTAGTGATTTCTGAACTAATCAACCAAATGATTCAGCAAGTAGAACTGTATATTATTGGTTTGGCTTCTTGCTTAGAATTGTAAAGGTGCATCAAGTTCAAGTATGCCTGAGCTTGCCACAGTCGTAGTCTGTGTTTTTCTGCTGTTCGGATCAATTCACTAACAAATAAACTCATCAACTGCTCTGTCGCTTCTCGGCCAGACTTTGCTGCTGTAATAAGCAGCACTAGTAGAAAAAAAGCAAAAATGCTCCAAGTAAAAGGCACCTATTTAATGTAAACCTGTGCCTAAACCAGTTTTCAAAAGTGGTGCCCTTAATTTGTAAGTTAGCCCCATAAATTAGAACTATCAGTTCCCCAGAATTTAGATCTACTTCCTTCCCTCTCACCTCACTCGACACTCTCACTCTCACTATCATTCTCAACTACCACCACAGCCGTCCTCCATTACTGATGCTCTCTCCGCATCAACTGCTCACCTCCGAAAATCGCCGTCGATTCTGCTGCTTCTATAGCGCGGGTGGCAACTTTATCAAATCTGTGGCGTCGCTAATGAAGATATTAAAGCAAACCCTAAATAAACCAAGGAGAACAATGCTGATGGTGAGGTCTCTATTGGCGATGCTGCTCCTCACCAGGTTTCTTTCTCTCTTTTTGTTCTTCGTTGCTTTTATATGATTTGGGTTAAGGTTTTGATTTCGTTGAGTTCAGGGTTTTGATTTTCTATGATGTTTTTCAGATACCTACAACAAATTCTGGTTCTTCTAGTGGAGGTGGGGTTGGAGGATTTGGTTTTGATGTCAGATCCATGCTCAAAGTTTCATTGAATTTGAACTCGAGCTCGAATTTGAAGCCTTCTGGAAATGGGAATGGGAACACTAATGCCTCTAATTTTGTGGTTGAAACTGATGGTTTTCTGTTATCTGATCGTGTTGATGATTTATTTGGCAAATTTGGAAAATCTGGTCCGGTTTGAAGCGGGTCTCTAAAGATGGGATCGGACGATTTGGTACTGGAGTTTTAGAGAAGCAATGCTGCCAATGATAGGTATGCAATGCTTGTATAGCCTAAATTTTATCGTATGCTGATAATATCCATGTTATTGTATAATTAATGAGCTATATTGGATATTGTTTTTTGTGTTTTAATCTATGTTAATCGGACACGGCTAAAATCACGAAGTGTCCATGTCGACACGGGCACGAACACGGGACACGTGTCCGACCCTTCACTGTGCACTCGGACACTTCCATTAAGAGTAGAGAGGAAAAAGGAGGAGAAACATGAAAGAAAAATACATCTTGTTCGAAGATCACCATTGATATAGAGAAGATGGAGAGAAGAAGATTGCCCGTTATTAGGATAATTTTCCGAGGAAAGATTTAAAATAAAAAAAAAATATAGGGGTGGACGTAATGAAAAATTTAAAGCATTTGTAAGATATAATATATTTATATAAATTTAAGTGATGTATAGATGTGTCCCCGTACCCGTGTCCAAAAATCAGACAGAGTCCCCGTGTCCTAAAATTTTGAAACTTGCCGGATCGGACACATGGACATGTGTCCGTGTCCGACACCCGTTCCCGAGTCCATGTAACATAGGTTTTAATGTTATGATTGATATATGGTCAACTAAAGATATATAAGCTGCATGCAATAGTGTTTAATGGCCCTTCCTGCTTATTGGATTGGTTGAACTTTAACCTGAGCAGGAAACCAAAATGCCAAAATTTATTGCTTTGTATTATGCTGTTTCACTGTTTGTAGCTCATGCTATGTGTAATTGTTCCTTGTAAGAGTGTCCAATCATCTTGTCGGCCATCCTGTGAATATCTTTGTGACTGAAATTTCTAATAGATGTGTATGACTGATGGGTAAGGAATTATAATTCTCTTTAAGAGCCTATAAAGAGTTTCAACTTGCCTTATCTTTTATTCTGGTATAAAGTCTATTTTTATATCAATGGATTGATAGCTTGAATGGACTTGTAATGTGACTGTATTTCCCATCAAGTGTTATTGGTTGAGTAGTTGTGTATTTGTTTAGTGCTCTGTTCTATATGCTCATATAAGTGATACAACTATTTTTTTTGCAGAATCATGGTAATTTAACCAGTCATTGGCCTGAGTTAATGCTAAATAACTTCACAAGGCTTGGGTGTCGTGTTGGAAGGTCTCCTTTATTTCCTCTTTAATAATAGCATGCTGATTCTAGTTTTGAGATTGAAATTTGATTTATCTTTTGGGTTTGGTGGTAAAATAGTTGGAATTAATTGTAATTTTTGGTTGATTTGGACTGGTGTTGACTTTAAAAGGTGGATTTTTGTGATGTTGCTGTGTTAAATGAAGAAATGAATGCTGATATGACTAATGGGAATGAATGTTATACTCTGGGATTAGCTCCTTGTAGGATTTTAGTGTTGGTTTTAAGCTCACATCGTTGCATGTTGTAACACAAGATAAATAATGTATCGGATGAGGCTAGAGAGACATGGGTGTGAAGGCTTGGGCGGTGTCTGAAGTTCAGTCTAATATCTGTTTGTGGTCTTGGTGTTATGAAGCTATTTATTACCAAAATTTTGATTCTTACTGACTTAATTATGTGCTTCTTGGTCTTTATAGTTTAATATCTGTGTGATATTGTGGAGGACTGGTGGTGACAGATCTTTGTCGGGAAACAAAGTGAACAGTGCTGGAGAGAGACGGTGGTGGACCTTCGGCAGCGGTGGGGGACTTACAGCGGCGGTGAGGAACAGGTAATGTGGTGTCTGGTAGTGGCAGTAACCAAAAAATTAAAAAATCCACAAAATGGCATCAACAACCTCAACCTTCTCTGTCATGGAGCAATTCTTTCCGGAGCTTTGCAAGCGCCATTAATGAGCCGTAAAATTTCCAGAATGGAAGAGTGATTATCCCAATTGTGGCGCAAAAGTAAACCAAGAAAATTTGCAAGGTGATTCGACTTCATCTTCAATAGTATTTCCTTTTCAATTATTTTTGTGTTATTTGATTATTTCATAGTTTTTGATTTCTGGGTATAATATTTTTGGAATAGGGTGTGAATAAAGTTGATTAGTAAATTTTGAAGGAGGATATACAGGAATTTCTTGCTGCCTTCGGGAAAGGCCCAGGTTGTCATCTCATCGCTGCTTAAGTAGTTTACTCTGAATTTCTTATCGTTTGAATTACTGGCATTTTCCTTCACATTTTATCATTCTGACATAAAAAAAGTATTCCATGCTACCTCAATACTTAGATGATTAGTTGTGCTACTGGGCCTTGAATGATGAGGTATTTTATACATAGGGAGAAGATATAGTTCATCCCTGTATTTGTCGGTGATGACTTCTGGGAGCAGATTGGGCAAGGGTTAAATTGTTACTGTAGTACTCCTTGGGATTTGATCTTACGTAGTAGTCACTAGTCAGTAACTCTACCCTAAGTCTTAGAACCCGCAGAAGGATAGAAGTCAATGGTAGTGGATACAAACACACCTTCACTGTTCAAGATCCTCAAAACTTGCTTTATATTGACATACGAAGTATATTTTTTTTTTCCTTTCTGGAACTAATTAGTAGGTGTTCCTCTGTTTTGAGTTTTTGTTTTTAAGTATCTGTTCTCGTTCTTTTTTAAACAGTTTGCTGGACTTCAGTGGACTACGATGTGTTATACCATCAATTATGCATGACATAAGGTAAACAAAAGCTTCATAACATGAGTATACTGCATGATGTTACCGCCTCTGCTGCTCCATACTGCTGCCTCTACTGCTCCCTCTGCTGCCCGCTGATGCTGCTGCATGATCCTGCTATGCTCTTACTGCTGTCTGTTCCTTAACCTGCTGTGGTTACGTTCCTGTTGTAATTTTAAAATTTTTTTTTTATTATATTCAAGTGTAATATTACAGGCATTTATAAGTGGAAATATCTAGCTCTAATTAGCTAGCACCAAGCAATTAGGCTTTAAGCTATTATAAACTGGTGCCTTTTTGCTTTTTCCTACTAGTGCAGAATGTTATTCATTTGATACATATCCTAAACCTTTTCCTTGAACCAGTGCCTAAAAGCGATTTTGAACCGGTACCTTCTTGCTTTTTTCTACTAGTGCAGATTGTTTTTCATTTGATACGTATCCTAAACTTTCGACAATTGATATGGCTAAGTGCTTGGCCTAGGTGGGATGGTTTTACTAACAAGGTTCATAGCTTTCATTTGTACCACGAATATTCTGACTTCTTCATTAACGAGTGAAATAACACATAAGGAACCTTGTCGCTTAGTGTGCCTTGAGCTTTTTCATAAATTGTTCATTGAAACCGTCTTTACTATTGGACGTTGGATCGATTGTTATATTACTAAAGCGTGTACCCATGTTCAATACGGGTACGTGTTCAAGTGTCTGACTTAGCTGTTTTGTGAAAAAATTTCAAGGTTTTGAACTAAAGATAAAGTTTTTAAGTGCCCTACTCGTGTTCGACTGTCGAGTATCCGATGTGGGTATTTGAGATAAAATGAAGAGTTCGAGTAATATGGCTCAAGGTGATGATCCAAATCCACATAAATGTTACCTAAGCAATTCAACTTTTCCTCGTATGATTTTCAGCTTACTATGTTTTCTTTTTCTCCATATCTATGGTAACAAGTATTAAAACCATCCCCAAGTGAAAAAAGAGTAAAAAGTAAATTATGTGATTGGGTAATAAAATTACTTTTTGGGAATCATGGTTAACCACATCATTCCCATAATCAATCAATAAACTTATACTAAAGGCGAAACCTTTTATGACACATGTCATTCTCTAATAAAAAGTTTTCCGTCCAACTTTTTGTTTTCCAATTACTTTTATTGTTACTAAATCTAACATATCTAAATTACCATTCTTATCGTTGAATCTAATAATATATTTTATTTTAGTAAATAAAAGAAAATATGTCCATGTCTAATTTATAAATTATCAACAATAAGGAACTCAATTATATTAAAACAAATCTAAAGTTATGGAAAATTTCCTACAAATAAACATTTATAAAAAGTCTTAATCAACGTAACAAAAAAAAAATGTATAAACTAAGTACCATTTTCTCTCAAAAAAGCCTAAGTATCATTTTGAGAACTATAATTTTTTATGTGTGTACAATTACTTATTCAATTAATTTTATTTTTTCAAGTACAAAATGTGAGACATAATCATATGCCAATTGTTTTGATTGCATTTCTTTAATTATAATAAAATATTTTGAATTAGTTGTAGAAATAGATCTTAGTAATATCCGTGCATGCACGGGATCTAAACTAGTTTATACAATAAGGCTTTGTTTACTTCAACTTATTTTTACTTATTTCGGAAAAAATAAGTTCAGATAAAAAAAAATAAGTTTAGATCAGATCATCGTTTTATGTGCAATTTTTTATCACTAAATATCTTTAATTTCGTAATGAAAAAAATTATAAAAATTACATATTAATAAAATACACATTATTACGAATTTAACAAGATCCCACTTGATATATTTTTTCCTTACAGATTATCGTACACTTAAGGTCAAAGTTTGGTCAAATAAGATCAGATCAGACCAGATCAGATCAAATCAGACCACATCAGATCAGATCAGATCAGATCAGATCAAATTAGACCAGATCAAATAAGTTCAGATAAGCAAAAATATGATCAACTAAACAGGGCCTAACATATGTATCGTTTGTTAGTAGAAAGGTTTATACCAATATTAGATACATTATGGCAGTACTAATGATTGAGAATTTATTCAATAAAGTAATTAATGAATCATTTGGGGTGGGGTAATCAAATTCAAGTCAAAGATGTTTCTTTGTATGTAAATATTTGCTGTCATAATTAGATGACACATGTTGACTTTCAACACTATTTGTTAACTTTATTTTGACTAACATTATGATTTATAGGTTTAAAAAACATAATCATGTAGGTACTTGTTAGATTTATTTCAATATGTACTTAATTAAAATTCAATTTTTAGTATTTTTTACAATAATTTAATTAAAGATATAATCAATTGAACTTTTACATTGACAAATGTGATAAAAGAAACGTGTCATCTATTTTGGAATGAATGAAGTATAGGCTAAGGCTTGCTAGAGGAAAAGGGAAGTTTTTTGGTTTCTTATCAAGGGGGTGGGGGTAATTTGTCTAATGATGTTAGACCTATTATGTGCTATATTGCAACAAGTAAACCTATATTTTTTATGTAGTCATTTTGTAATTAGTAATCTGGTTGTAGAGGTATATCTTTAAAAAATTCTATTCATAGGGCGGGTTGTGGCCTAGGTAGGCCCGCCCCTACATCTATCTATGGATATATGTTCTATAATGAATAAATAGTTACCAAACTTATTAAAATCATGATAATTTTGAAAATTAACAACATAAAAGTGGAAACAACTTATTCTAGTTTCCTATTTCTGGTTTTTTGTTTTCAAAAAAAAAAAAACCCCCTAACATTACTGTTTTTTTTTTTTTTTTTTTAATTTTATTTTTTAACTAATTCCCTATTACTCCATACATTTGCGAAAAAAAAACCAAACTTATTTTTACTAACCTTGAATTGTTTTCTTAAAGATTATTTGAACTAAGTTAGTACTCATGCAATGCGTAATTTTGAAATAAAAAATCATCAATTAAATTTGTGGAGTATAAATCGTGAGAATATTTGATTTAGCAACAAATTAAACAACTCATATATAAGAGAGATTTTGGGAAGAGAGAAAGTCATTGATCCATTTTTAGTTATTTGTTTTCTCACACTTATAATTATTTTATTTCAAAAAATTTATTTCATAATCTTTGAATTTGAAAGGACAAAAAAAATGAAATCATAAGCAGTTTTGGGGTGATTTTTTCATAAAAATATAACATTGCACAAAAATGTGAGCGGATTTTACTTTAATTATACACGAATAGTTATAGCCTTATAGGTTGATATGGTGAAAATAAAAACTTTTGTGGACACTTGGTTTACAATAATATCAATTATATTGAATAATTTTAGGGTGTTATGAAATATAGTTATGAATGTCCATTATGCATAGCTTTGTAACCCCCTTAACATTATTACATTCCTTAGTAACCCCTTGTAACTCCCTTTGCCTTTTTGTTGTTTCTCATTGTAACTCCTACATTATTGTGATTCTTCATTGTTCTTAGGCAGTTACTATATTCACTTGTACATGTATAAATAGTAGTCATTGCCTAATGAAAGAGATGAACAATATGATATTCTCTCTATATCTTCCACTTTTCTTCTTCCTTTCCTTTATTTTATAACACGTTATCAGCACCAAACTCTAATTTGCTAATCAATTTATAAGTATCAATTCACAATATGATATATCATGCTAGGTCAAGATACATATGATATTATTATTACTTTTAACATGTTTTGAAAGTTTATTTTACTAATTGTTTTGCTCTTAGTGTTGCATTTTAGTTTATATCAACTTAAAATATATCAATCCATTTATTATCATTCTATAGGACTTTGTTTATTGGATTACATACCTTATTGCTATTTTTTTTTTATTACAAAGTTTTCTCTTTTATTATTATTATTATTATTATTATTATTATTATTATTATTATTATTATTATTATTATTATTATTATTATTATTATTATTATTATTATTATTATTATTATTATTATTATTATTATTATTATCTTGAATTCATAAGTGAATTGTTGGTTATTTTAACATGACAATTATTAAAAAAAAAGGGTCGCTTGTGATTTGGGGATTTTTACCCCGCCACGTGGCCCAATGAGAGTGTGACACGTGTCACCCTAAAAGAAGTCCAAATGGAGTCACCTGGATTTGACACGTGGCATATAGATACTCATCAGGGAATGACGGCTTTTGGGACCCAATTCTCGAGAAAGCATCAAAGCGGCGCAGCCCACCAAATCTAGGTCAAAATGACCTAGGTAAGGGCACATTTACTAGGCCAAATGACCCTATAAATAGGGAGATTTATCCAATTTTGGGGACACATTCATTTATTTACATCGCAATCAATTCTCTTACAACAGAGAAAACACCTGAGCTTGGGATCCGGAAAGATCTACTTTTACTTTCTGCTTTTTACTCCGAAACTTGATCGTCGGAGGCCGGGAACTCCGACCAATCGGAGCTTTCGTTTGTTTGCGGGTATAGCTAGCGAGGATCCACTCTTGGTGACATAACTCTCCTGCAGGACACATAAAAAAAACCCGAAACATTTGGCTCCGTCTGTGGGGAAAGTACCACTAAGATAGTTTCTCAAGAGACTGTACCGCCTCCTGAGGACAAATGTCCAGAAGCAAAGGTCCATTCGGACCATGATATAGATTCTGATCTAGAGGTCGAACTATACACGACCAAAGATGGATCCCTTAAAACCATACGCATCCGTTCCAACGATAACAGGGAACAGGGCGTTGATCAGGCGGGTCCGAGTAAGTCAACCGGCCAGCCCTAGGCGGCAGGACAGACTGCTCACATCACCCGAGAAGAGTTCATGAAAATCATGATGAACTTCAAGGGAGAGATGAAGGACCTGATCACTAAGAAGACGGCTGGTCCCAGCAAAGGTCAGTCGACAAAGAAGCCCTCTCACTCTAAGAAGGCTAAGTCAATCAAAGACAGGCAGCCTACTCTGCAGCCTAATACAAAGGAGGGGGGGGGCAGGCCTTTTATCGATTGGTCCAAGTTCTGCTTCCCAGACTAGGGAAAGAGGAAGCCCATCCAGTATACTGAGTAGGATGACAACAAGAAGACTTACTCTAATGCTCGACTTATCATTAAGAAAAAGAGAAACAAACAACTGTTTGACTCGGCTTCAACGTCGACTATGCCAGACAGCTTCAAGAATACCTTGATGAGGTATTCCCAATCTGTACAGGAGAACCTGTCAGGCAGCCCGTCTGTCCATACAAGTCCTCAGATGATAGGCTCAGTCCCATATGTGCCCCAACAACCATACAGGCCGTTTGCCCAACCATATCTGCAACCTGCCCTC